TCACAGTCCCCCTGTGGTACTTGCTGGACCGGACTGGGACTGACTGGACCTTCCGCTGACTGACTGTGGACTCACCGCTATCCTACCGACGTTGTGCTGCTGTTGCACTGCGGTTTAGTCCACCACTTGCCTCGCCACTTGACCACTTGCCCACTTGCCTACCTTCTAGAAGATCTACAGCTAAGCTTCCGGAACTCGCTAAGACTTCTACGCTATAGACCTACAGATCGAACCCCTTCTGCCTATGGACCTACGACAGACCTACCAACTGTCTGCGAATACACAGGTCACAGGTTTAATTCTCGGGATCTATACAGATACTGTACATAGGTAGGGTGAGGTCTAGGGATCTAACCCTGGGTACTGCATCCGCTACTACTAAAAGGTGAAAACTGTTTCATTAGGATGCTTGTACACCTTCATACCATTCTCTTTTTTCTCTCCTTTTGTAAGGGAAAAACTTCAAAAAAGACTTAAAAAAGACTTAAAAAAGAGGAGAGGGGGCAATATGCTCGGGGGGGGGAACAAAATTGTCATAATTGTTTCTTTTTTTTCTCTTTCTTGTAAGGGGAAAAAACGTAAAAAATAGGAAAGCAACATTGTTGAATTTGTTTGTTCTCTGCTGTTCGATTTTTTTATTTTTTTATTTTATTTGTTTTTTACTATTTTAGTGTGTTTTTTAACTTTTTTAATATGTTGTGCTTGTTTTTGTTTCCTCCCGGCTGTTTTTGTTGTCTTTTCCGCCCTTCTCCAGGTGGTTTTGGCGGAGTGCTCAAAAACTTTCGATGCTTGGTGAGTTATTGCTACATGCTTATACAAAAAAAAAAAAAAAAACGAAGAAGAAAACAGGCCTCTTTCACTCTCCTTACATTCAGGGGAATCCCCCACTGGTCTATCTATGTTCATGCTAGGAAAACATGAACCTGGCCGTAACAATGGCCAGGTTCATGCCTTCCTAGCGTGAACCTAGCACCACTAGTGCCTAGTCCTCTCCAGTCTCCACATCTGCTTACAGTAGAGACTTCAACGCTCGTTTTTTTTCTCTGATGCGCAAAGTGGTGGTTTAAGCCACCAGTACACGATCGTACATTGGCCGCGGGCCCGTCACCATGAGTTTCGGAGGCCCGAAACGCGACGCCAGCCATTGATGAAATTTATCAACGGCGGGGAGGCCCCAAAATTTTCGGAGTAGGGGGCGTGTTTTTTTCTGCCGTGTACTGGCGGCTCAGACTGCAACTAGCTTTCTAAGGCCAAAGTCGAGAATCGAAAACATGAATGCCGCCATGGCGATCCCTTTTTCTTTGGAGCACAGGCGGAATCCACATCGCCCTTTTTCTTTGGAGCTTGACCCTTAAAAAACTGGCTTGAGGAGTTGACGTCGACCTCTCCTTTGCAAAAAAAAAAACAAGAAAAAAAAAAAAAAAACGGGAGCATTTCTCAATTAGTGCGTGTCATTCTTGCGCAAGGGCCATGCAATCCTCTCTACATCGCTCCAATTTTAAGGGATGTCATGAACCTCGACCCCTCGTACAAGCAAGAAATAGCAAGTTTTTTTTCCTTTTTTATTAGAAATAGTAAGTTTCAGCTGGTGTCTGGTGAGGGATTAATAAAATAATAATAATAGAATTACATAGATGCTTCTTGTGCTTCCTCTTCTTTAAGATGTAAAAAGTTTTTATTGAGGTTTGCATGATTTTTTATTTTTTATTTTAATTATTTTTTAGGAGGTTTAGCCTGGTTTGCAGGATTCTACTATTGGATAGGCAAAATCTTTGGACTTCAATATCCAGAAACCTTAGGTCAAATTCATTTTTGGATTACTTTCTTTGGTGTGAATTTGACTTTCTTTCCAAAAATGAAAGCAACTTTTGAATTACTTTCTTTGGTGTGAATTTAACTTTGTATGGAGGGATGAATAAATACTGTGCATTAACAAAGTGAGAGAAAGGGGGGGAGGGGGGGGGGG